GGTGGCCTCGCGTCTTTTTGAGGGGGATTGCTGGGTTAGGGAACCCACCTCTTGTAGTAACGTTCCCTTCGTTCCTGAACTGGAAATGGTGACGAGGATTAAGGCTTGAGGGTTGGAGCCCCACAGTGAGAGTGGCTGGGAACTCCACCCTCTCGGAAGGGTGAGGAGTCAGCCTTTTGGGTTACACATGTGCCCCAGCTGGGCTCGGGCCCACCCTTCTCTCTCCTCAGTGTTTATTGCTGCTCAGCCCTGCCCAAGAAGAGCTGCCGAGTCAGCTTTCTCTGGCTGGGCCGGCTCTTGGGCCTGAGCTGCTCTGTATCTCTCACAGTATCCACCCCTTAGATAAACAGCCCACGTGTCCTCTGCACGCTGCGGAGTTCTGATGTGGCTACGAAGGGCTCCATTAGCCAGATGCCTCTCTGTCTAAGAAGGACCCTGGCAATGGGCCCTGCTTTTCTTCCAGCTGAGTCAGGCCCTTGCTGGAGTGACGGGGTAATCCACTTCCTGCCCGAAAAGGTGGCCGCAGCAGAACTGCAGCCTGGGCAGGGCCTTCCTGCCTGCCTGGCCACGCACCCGGGCCTGGGCAGGCCTCTGCATGAGGCAGCCCCCTTGACCTTTCCTGTGAAGGTTTTATCGCTCAAACCCAGCCCTGCAAACTGAGCACCACCCAGGCTACAGAACCACTTTGCAGCCCGCCTCGCTTCCCAGGTCGGGGGGCGGGGGGCATTTGGGCTGGGTATCCAGGCCCGAGACGTTTATCCCATCACCCGCCACTCTGCCATGCTGTGTCTGCACCAAGACACTGAACCACGTAGCTTCGAGAGCCCCGCATACTGAGTAAACTCAGTTGGGCCGCCTTTGCTTGGTTTGCTCTGAAGTCTGAGCCAGGGGATTTGCTTTCTTTGAAGGGTGACCTATAGGCAGAGAAAATGTCACCAGCGGCTGGTTAGTGGCACTTCCTTCTCCCATGGCCGGTGGGCCTTGGGGACGACAGGGAGGGCAGATGCTGAGGCCCTATGGGCTCAGCCCTGCTGGTTGGGATTAGGTGACAGGTGTGGCTGGACTCAGCCCCTGAGGGCTGGGGGTGGGGAGATAGGGAGAGGAGGGGTGCAGGCCAGCTGGGTACTCATGGCTCTGGAGAGGACCTGATGACCCAGTACTCTCAGCAGATGGGCTTGTCTTGGCCTCAGGAGGGCCCAGACAAAGCCAGAGTGGGGGAAGAAGAAAATCTGTTACAGAAGGAGGAGGTGGGAGAGAGGCCAGCTGTAAAGCATCCTCCAACAGACCTTTTGAGGGAAAATTCAAATCTGTGGGGCTATCAGATGACCCCTGCCTTCCAGGAGACACGTGAACCCGTTGCAATTCAGACCGTTCTTTGGCAGGGAGGACCCAGGGAATGTGACCGTCACTGCCAGGACAGAGCTGTCCTCACCTACAGGAAGCCCTCCCTGACCTCCTCCTTCAGCAACTTCAGGATCCTGTGCATATGTGCCCGCCGTTCCCTGTCACTCCAGAACTTGCTTGTCAATCTCTAGCACCACAGCAAAACTTCACGAACTTCCTCATGAGGCCCAGGAAACTGCATTTTTAACTAACACCAAAGATGATTCTGGCATGTGCAGACTTGAGACTACATTTTGAGAACCATCTTGCCCTAGAACAGCCTCTCGAACAAAACTGTCATGTGAACCACATACATATTTTAAATTTTCTAGTACCCACTTAAAAACGTCAAAGAAAACAGGTGAAATTATTTTTAAAAGTATTTTTATTTTACCTGATAGATTCAGAATGTTATCATTCCAATATACAACCAATACAAAATTTGTTAATGAGATGTTTCACGTTTTTTTTCATACTGAGTCTTTGAGACCTGGTGCATACTTTACACCTACAACACATCTTAATTTGGACAGGCCACATTTCAAGTGCTCGACAGCCACGTGTGGCTAGTGACTGTCACACAGACGAACAGCCCTAGAACTGTGTGGTGAGTATGAGCCACGGGTCAGCAGTTCCAGCATTGCCTAGGAGCTTGGTGGAAATGCAGGTTCTCAGGCCCCTGTCTGGACCTACTGAATCAGAACCTACATTTTCACCTGTTGGCAGGTGCTTCAGAGGCACGTTGAAGGTGTGAAGCCCTGCTCTACAGCTACATCATGAACTCCTTGGTGTAAAGACTATGATTTAACTTACTTCTAGCATCTAATGGAAGGCCTGGCATCTAGAAGGCACATAGCAAATGTTTTTAGAGGAAAGGGATGAATGTGTGAATCCTGCCTGCCCCTACTCACTCCTATTGGTCCCTCATTCCCTGTGCACTATTTGTGAGAATCTCAGAATCCAGGGTCTGAAGAACAATATAGGAGTTAGAATCTAACTTCTTCAAGCACCAACTTGGTTAAGTCCCACAGCTTGTTGGGCACGGCTGGCCACCCTCTTTTTGGACAAAAATGGTTTTGTTTTGTTTTGTTTTAAGATTTTTAAAATTTATTTGAGATAGGGAGAGAGAGACTGTGTGCACACGAGTGGGGGAGGGGCAGAGGCAGAGGGAGAAGCAGATTCCCCACTAAGCAAGGAGCCCAATGCGGGGCTCAATCCCAGGACCCCGAGATCATGACCTGAGCCAAAGTCAGGTGCTTAACCAACTGAGCCATGCAGGTGCCCTAGGACAAGGGCAGTTTGATGAGGGCACACCACTCCACAGCAGGACACATTGCTGGGCCTGGCTTCCTTCTCAGACATCTCTGTACTCATCCTCAGAAATTCTATGGAGCCATTGCTCAGAGATCTTACGCGTAGCCTATACATGTTAGTAAGCCATTGATTTATTCTCAGTCTTCTTCCAGAGAAGATTTAAGGTGCCTCTAAATATGTGTACCTTCCAACAGAATGAAACAAAAATGGGAAAAGATGAAGATGGGAGTGCTATTCTGCATTGAATTTGTTTGAAAATGCATTAATTAAAAAAAATATCCTAAGCACAAGTTCATAGTGTTATGGCCTAGTGGGTATATTTACATGAAGCAGGCAGTTATTAAATGTTTGAGAGATGGACTTATAACATTAGGGTTTGAAAACTCATGAGCCAGCTTTTGTTAAATTTCAGTCTGTACTCAGGAAGTGAAAGTTAATAATGGTGCAGTCTCTGCCTTGTTTTGAATCGAGTCCGACAATGACCCGCCCTTCACGTGTGGGCTCTAAATAGCCTGTGCATGTTGGGTAATGATTGTGCAAGAGAGAACCCTAAAATCATGTGTTAGAGCGGGGTGGGGGGGTGCGTGGATGGGAATGTGTGCAGGTGCACACACACCCGTGAAACCTAGCACAGGTCTACCTTTCACCACCTTCAATGCCAGCTAGCACTTTGGTCCCAGCCTCCATCATAGGCTCCTACTTGGTCTCCCTGCTTCCACCCTCCGGCCCATTCATGATGCTGAAGCTAAGCCATCCTCCCCATGATCTGGCCCACGTCTCGGATCTCACTGCCTGCATCCCAGCCCTTGCTCACTCTGCTCCACAGCAGCCACCCCGGCCTTTTCAAGCTCTTCTTGCACTTCCCATTTCCCCTGCTGGAACATTCTCTGCCCTCCTTGAGGCTTGCTTCCCCACCTCCTGTGGTCTCTGCTGAATTGCCATCTGATTCCTAAGTCCTTTCTCAGCACGCTATACAAAGGAACAACCTCTGTTCTGCTCCAAAACCTTCCTCGACTTCGTTTTTCTTCATAGGTTTTATCAATACATATTTATGTGTTTACTGTTTGTCCCCCTCCACTAGAATGTAAACTCCCTGAAAGCAGGGACTTTGTTGCTTTTCTTTTTTTTTTTTTTTTTAAGATTTTATTTATTTATGAGAGAGAGAGAGAGAGAGCGTGCATGAGCGGGGGTAGGGGCAGAGGCAGAGGGAGAAGCAGACTCCTCGCTCAGCAAGGAGCCCAATGTGGGGCTCGATCCCAGGACCCTGGGATCGTGACCTGAGCCGAAGGCAGACGCTTAACGACTGAACCACCCAGGCGCCCCTATCGGTTTTCTTTACTGCCGTTTTCTTGGTGTTCACTGCTCCAAGTAGGTGCTCAATAAATATTTGAAGGAATGGACTTCAGATATCATGTGACAGGTCTTCCTCATTTGACCAAGGAGGTGCCAGAAGCCCTATAGAGAAAGCTCCCATGCCTTGCTCAGGGCCACACAGCTGGGGCAGCAGGGCTAGATCCTGCCCTGTCCATTCTGCTCCTGCTTCCGCCTGTGCCTTGGAAGGGAGATTTAACCACACGCACGGGGGCCGTGGCCTCGTCCATCCTGTCTCCGGTGTGTTTTTCCAGCTTATACAGAATCTCAGCCCAGAATAGCAGAAGAAAAAAAAGTTGTTCCTCCAAAACCCTGGAAACTCTTCCGATGGGTCTGTCCCTGGAAAAACAGCAGCAATCTCAGGGTGGGAAGGTAGGAAATGGAGGAGGGGTCTTACAGCAGTGGGCGCCGTGGGCTGGGTTTGGTTTTACAATTAAAATAACATCTGGGTCTGTTTCTGCAGAGTGGTTCTGGAAGGTGGGTGGTCTGTCTGAAGTATCAGGTGGGGCCTTCCGCTGTCCTGGCCCAGGAGGGTCTGAGATGGCCAGTGGCTAATGGGCTTACCCAGCAGATGGCATGTGAAGGAAGGTGGGCCCAAAGAAAGTTCTGGAAACCCCACCTGCGGCCTGCCGGAAAGCCTGCTGGTCTCTCCCGAGGCCTCATGAGGGGGCAACTTCAGACACTCCCCCCTACCCCGTGCCTCCACGCCTCCTTGAGATTGTTCAGACACCCCTTTGATGAGTCCAGAGCTCTGACCTCCTCTCTCTCATGCCCCATGTGGTTTATTAATCATCTGTGAAATGAGGGGCTGAGGCGCCACTCATCCAGATGAGGGCAGTGGGGCCCTGAAGCAGTGGCATGGAGTGGGGAAGGGACTCTGAGGGCTGTTCCAGTCTTCTGAATCCTGTCCCTCTGTCTGTCTGGCTTCTCAGATGCAGCTTTTGGATAAGTTTCCCATTGAAGGTGGCCAGAAGGACCCCAAGCAGAGAATCATCCCCTTCCTTCCAGGTAAGCTTTGGACGGCCCCACTATTGGGATGGGAGGCAACCTGGGGAGAAGCATTTCTTAGGCCAAGAAAAGGCTGGCTGCTGGAAATTCTGGGCAGGGTGGGCCTACGAATCTACATCCTAACAACTCCCCAGAGGAGGGGAAGTCCCTGACTGTGAAGGCCACTGCCCCCACAGGGGCCTCTCCCACCATTCCCAGGCCACCTCTATTGGCCATGTAACTTCTAAGGAATTTCTTAGGTGCTGGGACTTAGGCTTCCTCTTTATGGAAAGCATAGAGAGATCAAGTTCTTCTGTGAAAGGATGAAGAACTCCAGGCTGACGAGTTCTTCCCACTAACCCCATTGCAATCATAGACACCCTTAAATTGAGCACACTCTCCATGTCCGATTTTGGATCCTCCTGGCCCATTACCCAGCCGAGGCTCCGAGAGCTTACGTGACACAGCCTGTGAGTTGGCAGGGTTAGAATTTGAACCCAGGTGTGTCTGGCAATAAGGGCCATTAACCACTACGCCATTTGGGAACATGTTTACAGCAATTGGTTATGTGTAATTTAGAGAAAAACTGCCCAGATGTGTTCTAATCTGCTATTGCTATGATGTTTTAAATTGGTGTACAGTTTATAGCTTACAAAGTGCTTTTTTGTTATCATATACAAATCTCCATGCTGAGGTGTGTATTCTAATTTCTGCTTGGGGGATGAAGATGTTGGAGTTCAGAGATATCAGGTAACCACTCATAGAAGTGGCAGATCTGAGGTGTGAACTTCGGTCTTCTGCTCCAGTCTGGGCTCTTAGCCCCGAACCTGTGGGTGATGCTGCCTCCTGGCTTCGGATCCTCTGCCTTTCCCCAGGCCATGGATCTGGGCCGGGTCACAGTGGGCCTCACCCCCGTTACTGCTGGGCCCTGGCAATGGCAATCAGTGGGACCTTTGCAAGAAGCAGGGTCCTTGTCTCATTAACTCTCTGGCACACCTTCACCCCATGGTCAGCACCTGCTTGGTGACTTGCAAACACACAGAGGGGCCCTGCCTTCAGAGAGTGGGTCCTCTCTGAAAGGTGCTCCTCACACACCCCCATCTGCTAAAGTGGGGAGAGACAAGAGCACGCATTGCTGCCTGTTCTCTCTTATGCTAAAATTGGAGAGAATTAATTTAGTGACGAGGAAAAACTTCCATATGCCACAGTTTTGGCAAGATTGGAACCAGTCAGTGAGGGTATAGAGAATCTCACCCCTGTTGCTTCTTCCATGAAGGCAGAGGACTGCTTCTCCATCCCTGGCCTAGGAGTTAATGTGGGGGGACTTTCATACCCTACCTGGCTTTGCACTGAGTCCTGAGGGAATTTGGAATGTCTAACACCCAGGTTTGTATGACCTTCGATGTTGCTCCAGTACAGTCCAGGTGCTCTGCCCAGCAAGGGCTTGGGAGCCCAGCTGGGATGCTGTGGACACAAGTGTCCCAGAGCCAACATGAAGCCAGCATGGTGCCCTGGTATCAGGAGTGGACTTGGCCTTGGGGGCATGAAGGCTGCCTCTTTCCTCGAGAATGATGGGCTTTTTCTCCCACTGGTGGCCAGTGCTCCAGGGAAGTATCACCTTGTCATCATACAGACAGCGGGTTTTTATGAGGGGCTCAGCCTGTGCCGGGCCCAAGACTCAGTACCTGGGGTTGGGGGCTGGGATGGCCTGGTGAGCCAAGGGGGGACGTAGATTTGTTTTCTTCATCTAAGGAATCCTCAAGCTACTAGGAGAGATGAGAGAGTCAAGACCTACTGCCTAACCAGGGAATCAGTGAAGGCAGGATGTGACCCTCTCTACCACAGTGCAATTCTGAGTTGTTTGGAGTGTGTCATTGTGGGCTGAGGAAGGCGGCAAAGACCTCCCGAAGGAGGGGCGCCTGGAGCTGACCTCCAAGGACGGGAGGGCTTGGACCGTGTGGGGGAAGCACAAGGCTTCTGTCCCGCTGCTCCCAGAGCCCAACGTCTGGGGAATCACGCTGCCTGGCTTCCCCCGCTGCAAAGTCTGGCTTTTATCAAGTGCGTTTCCTTCTTTGTGCCTCAGTATTCTCATCTGGAAAATAGGAATCATAATAGTATCTACTTCATGGGGCTGTTGTCGGGATAAAACGAATTAATACATTACAGGGGCTTAGAACTGTGGCTTGCCTCTAGCAGGACTTAAATAAATGTTAGCCCTTAAGGTGACCAATTCCTGACACGTGCCCAGTGTTTCACACAGCACACTCACCCGTGTACTCTCATTTGCTCCTCCCAGTGAGGTTATTATCCCCATTTTACTGGCTAGGAAACAGGCCAAGGGAGGCTAATAGACTTGCACGGGCCACACAGCCAGGAGGTATAACCAGCACCAGAACCTCTGGCCAGGGCTTCCCATGAGCCATCTCAGGGGAGGATACCCCCTACAGCTGCTGCAGGACTGGGGCCCTCTCTGAACTTCAGCTTCCTCTTACAGGCTTGGGGTGAGGATGAAAAGAATTCATGGGAAGCACTTTGCATAGTGCCCGTCCCATAGTAAGTGCTCAGTGAATGGCAGTTTTAATCAAGTCACCTGCCCCCATGCCGCCCCCAACTCCTGGGAAAGGCCAGCCCGGGACCCCCTCCGGCCCTGACGTGATGGGACCTGGGCACAGTGGGTGATACTATAGAGAGGAAGGAGGTTGACTGGCTCCCATCCCATCCAAAGGAAGTTTCCTTTCCCGTTTTGCTGTTTTTCTCCTCTGCCCGCAGGGGGGTTTCCTCTCTGGTGCTTCTCTCTTGCTCACTCACTTTCCAGGACTTCAGAGTGGGTGCTGCTGGCCATGTGGAATCCCACCCTGGGGGCTCCCAGGCCTCTTCCTGGCTTCCCCCTGCCCCCTAGAAACTTCCTAACCCTTTCATACTTTACTCATTCCCTCGCTTGAACGGAAGGAAAATAGAAGCCAACAGGATCGGAACCAAGCTAGGGAGAGCCCCGTGGGCATGAGGGTTCCCAGCCTGCCCCAAACCCGGGATTGCGGGGGACCTCCAGGAGGAGAGGGGAGGGGAGAAGGGCAATGACGAATGTTTCCTATCTTAGGTCAGTTCCCTAAAAGAGCCTGAGATGAGGATTCTTACGCAAGGGACTTGGGGGGCCGCTCTCAGGTGAACATCCTAAGGCAGCGAGAAGCAGGACAGGGCAGGGGAAGAAGCCCAGGGTGGATGGCACCAGGTTGTCCCATGGTAGGAGACACCTTCAGTACTCCCCATAAGTCATCCTTTGTCTGCAAGCCACCCCTCCCCCAGAGGGCATGCAGTGTGGGCTGAAGGCTGAGGGCCTGCCTTTGGAGAAGGGGCAGCTGTGAGCCCCCAGCACCAAAGACCCACAGCAGTGAGAGGTGGGAGCGCGTGCTGGTGAGGGGGTTCTGGGCCTCAGCCGACATCTACTGGGTTATCTAACCCCAGTTAAGTCTCTGTTCCTACCTGTCTGCCTCTGGGAAGGGTGGCTGAGGTCACCTGCCGATTCCCTCAGGCTCATCCCTGGCAGCGTGACTCAGCAGCACCTGAGTCAGCTGCCTTCGCTCTTAGAAGCTTCGGGAGGGCTAGCAACCGGCCTCGGAAACAGTTCTGCCAGCCCTTTGCCTTGCCTGGAATTTTGGAGCAAGGAACACCCACGTGGAGAAAGCAGACAGCACCGATTATCTCCAGAAGGGTCTCAGTGTTAGCTTTAAAAGGTGCCAGGATGTGATGAGCCTTTCCGCGGCCTGGCATCTGGGGGATGTGTTTGGAGTATTACCCAGCTGCTTTGCTTTGGCCTGCCTGGCCACAAGCTTGGGCAGGGGGCTCATAGAAGTTTGACTGGCTGGTGGAAGTGACAGAGAAGAAGCAAAGGAATTGAGAAAAAAGAGGGAAACCAGGGCTTCGTATGGTTACAAGCTCCCTCATCTGCCAGTCAAATCCTGGCCAAAAAAAAAAAAAAAAATCGCACATGTGAGCCATAAATCTTAGGATCTAGGACACAGGCTTGTGGTATGTCTGGGTGGTGTCTGGCCTGAGTTCAGGGTCAGCCTGCGGGTTGGAAGAGTGGTGAGGGTCTGGGGCTTCTGTGGCCAAAGGCAGAGGACCCATCCCAGAAGACTGAGGGTCCTGCAGGACGGCTGGAGTGGGGGTTGGGGCAAGGACAGCCGGGAGCAGGGTCAGCAAGGTGAGGACAGAGAGCCAGTGCAGTGATCAGACCAGCGGTCTGACATTTGCGTATCAGTCGAATCCTGGATGAGGTTTGTAGGGGAACTGTCCTCAGTGCGGGGGCCCCCCAACCCAGTTGTTTCCCCGGGGCTTAACCTGCTTTCTGGGCCTAGGGGTGAAGATCCACTATGCCCAGGCCCATCCATGGGTTTGTGAGTCCTGCAGAGCCCACAGGAGGGACTCGGAGGAGTTATGACCTTCATGTGGGACAGGTGCTTCTCTCCAGCAAGGCAGCTCTGGAAGGAAAACCCAAGTGGTTTTTCAGGCAGGAAGAGGCAGAGAATTATGCCAGGACCTGATGTCCCGGGCTTTGGGGGGGAGGAGAGAAGGGGAAGGTACTCCCTCCTGTCTCACATTATGGGAGAGTGAGGCAGGTCCCCCCTGCTGTTTTTGCTGACCTTGGAGACAAGGCCCCTGTCTACTCCTCCCACATTTCTGTCACGGGGCTGGACACATAGTGGCTGCTTTATTAAGACCCCCTGGTTGATCACGAATTGGGCATTCTCCCTTAGGTATGAGCTCCCTTTTTTTGAGCTCCTACTGTGTGTCTGGCCTTGTGCTAGACACTCTACGAAACTTTTCCCCAGTCCTCACTGCAGGGTGGGGGGCATTATCCCATTTGAGAGAGAAGTCAAATCACTTTCCCCCACCCCTGAGTCAGTAAGTGGTGGAGCAGGTGGCCTTCCTCCACGGCCTGCACCTTTCCCTGGGCAGGGAGGAATTAACCCCCGCCAGCCTCAGCTAGGAGCTTTCCTCCACCCACCTTGTTGCCGCCACAT